AAACGGCTGCTATAGCCCAATCTATTGGGGGCCGGGCGGGTCTTATACAGAGGTGCAGTAGCCTCTGAAGGGGAAATGTGAGCTGCCTGTGTTTGTGATACGCCCCTTCACCCTCATGATCTGGCAATTTGGTGATGGAAGCACAGGGAAGAGGAAGGGTTTTGAGCATAGCAGATTCCTCTTTGTGAATCCATAGTAGGATCCTAGGGCCAGCTAGAGCAAATATGAGACACCCCCCCACACACACACACACACAAATAAATTATGGGTGTATCCTTAGGCCAATATTAAAATAACCAAAATAATTAGGTGCAATGTATGGGTTCAGTATTCCCTCATTCCCTCCCTGTCCCCTTAACTAGAACTAATTCCACTGACCAGAGATTGATGCAAAAGGAGGTCACTTTGAATTAAAGAATTCACCAATAGCAGTGGGGCAGTGTAGCTACTCTAGGTTTCAGTCTGAATTGTAAGGAGCTGTCTATGGTGCTGAAGGAGCCAATGGTTCAGCAGCACAGAGTTCCCCAAAAATGCAGGCTACATTGCCGCATCAGCTTTGGCACCCCTCAGCTCTTCGGGGTTTCCCAAATGGCCACGCTCCATCCCCTGAGCACACACCCTCTTCAGCACCAGCCATCTTGGCTTTTGCACAGTTTTCCCCTACCTGTTTTGAAATATAAAATTGGCCCTTGAAAGGCAGGCTTACTGACCAAAGGGAGTGTAACAGAAAATAGGTGAGCGTTTTGCAATTTTACTCTGTTCTTTCTTCCCTTTGGTTTAATCTCCACAGGAATTTGACTCCTAAATGCTTCTCCAAAAATGCAATGCAGCTGCAGAGCTTCCAGAATCCCAACTTATCAGGACTCTTAAAGAGTATACAATAGTTATGCATTAATTATATTCCTATCTCATCTTTCTTTTGCAGGAAGCCCAAGATGGTCTTTGCAATTCGCCACCTCCTCTCCAGTTTATCCTCACAGCAACCTTGCGAAGTAGGTTAAACTGAGAGTCAGCAACTGCCCCAAAGTAACCCAACAGGCTTCATGGAGGGCTAGAACCCGGATCTTCTGAATCCACTTCTCTGCACCTGCTTTCACAACAACCCTGTGAGGAAGGTGAGGCTGAGCATCCAGGACTGCCGCAAATTCCCTCACTTAGTTCCAGTCCAACACCCAAAGCACAACGTGACACCACATTATTTAGGGGACTCTAAGTTTGCAAATGTTTCTTGCACAATCAGTTTCATTTTCCTGCTCTTTAGAAAATATTAACTATTCGGGCTTTCTGTTACAGGCACAAAAATACTTTCACTAACTCACAACTTCATTGCCCCTAGTTTTAGACACAAAGACAATTTGCCATGTAGAAGTAGTAAATTAATCCTCCATTTTCAGGCCTTTCCTTTAATCTCCTACCAAGTTCCTCCATAATCTTGTATTCTCTACTGGAGACAAGATGACTGAACTAATTGTTGGCTTTGATTCAATAGAGTTGTATTAAGCTCCAAGGTCTATCAGTACATTCAAGGAGGAGGTTAGCTCAGTATCAAAATTCTTTCCCTTAATACAAAAGATCTCAAGTTCAAAGCTCAGCATTTTTAAGAAGCACTGCCCAAAAGCTTTCCCATACCACCGGCAAGTTTAGGATCATGGCCCATGCCAGAGACATGCATCTGATGATGGTACATCCCCAGCTGCTTCCGCACCACACTTCTTGCCTCTAGGAGCAATTAAGATTAGCAATTAAGCAATTAGGATTAGTTCATTAACACCCCACTAATTGCATGCTGCTGCCTCAGCCTGGGGGAACATTTCTGCATCCCGCAGTCCCTAGAAACGAAGATAGAGGATCTGTTTCTTCTGGATAAATGGAAGACTTTCTAGGCTGCAGGGCAGACTCAGAGATTTTTCTTGCAATGGGGAACAGAGAACAGAACCTCTGATCCCTGCGGAAACGACTGCAAAGGAAAGGAATTAGCTGAAATCACTGGGTTTTGTTTTTAAAAAGGGATTAAAGATAGGGCACCCTCTGGGGATACTATCTGTAAAAATCCAGCTATGATCTTTCAGCAGCTGGTAGGGGAACCCTCCATGATGCGGTGTCCTGAAAAGATATCAGATTACATTGTCCATCATCCCCATCTGTATTTTAACAACAGCCAACACTCAGCTCTAGCCAACACTCCGCTGAACCAAGCCATGTTAATCCAAGCAATGGCTTCTTTCCATGGGTTGTCTCTGGTTAACAAGTCATGGTTTATCTTAGTTGTGTTCAGACAACACGATAACCCATGGTTCAACAAGTACCCATAGTGAAGTTGCCTGAACCCAGGCAATGAATGTGTTTCTCTGACTGTATAATTATTTTTATTTATTTGCTGCATTTTCTCCTGCATTTCAGACACTTATTCTTCCTCAAAGTGCTCATAGTGATCAAAAAGAGAAACAAGACATGCCTTCTGAATTACAAATTAAAAAGTCGAGGGAAGGGGAGTGGAGGAGAAAGCCAGAGGGGAGAGCAGATTTTGGGACACAGTCTGGGTTACTCTCCCCACTCAACCAAGGAGCCCAATGGGGTGACTTTCGACCCACTCCCAGCCCAATCTACCTCACAGGACTGTTGTTACAAAGATAAGACCGAGAGGAAAATTATGCAAACTGTCTTTCATCCTTTGAAAGGAAGAAAGGAGGTTTAGAAAGACTATTTACATTATTCTCCTCTCAGTCTTATCTTTATAACAACAGTCCTGTGAGGTAGATTGGGCTGAGAGTGGGTTCAAAGTCACCCCGTTGGCTCCTTAATTAAATCAATGAATAGCATGTTGAATAACATAGGCAGGTGGGCTCTTGTTGATTTTCTTGCTTGAATTTATTTTTATTTATTTATTTATTTATTTATTTATTTATATTTATATCCTGCCTTTTTCCTACAAAGGGCTCAAGGCAGCTTACATTATCTCTCCTCCTCCATCTTATCCCCACAACAACAACCCTGTGAGGTAGGTTGGGCTGAGAGCCTGTGACTGGCCCAAAGCCACCCAGTTGGCTCCATGGCCGAGCGGGGACTCGAACCCAGATCCTCTGAGTCCCAGTCCCATGCTCTTAACCACGACACCACACTGGCTCTGAATGAGGCTTTCTATTCCATGGCAGGGCAATTAAATGGACTTGTGTAGAATCATAGAAACATAGAAACAGAGCAAGTCAGAAGGGGTCTCCCGGGCCATCCAGCCTGACCCCCGGCTCCAGCCGGCTCCGCTCACGACATGCCCACCATGTGCATGTCCAGCCTGTCCTTGAACACCCTCGCCGATGGGGCCTCACCACCTCCCGGGGAAGCCCAGTCCACACCCTCGGGGTCCTGACTGTCAGGAAGTGCCTCCTGGCATCCAAATGGAGCCTTGGCTCCCTGAGCTTGGCTCCGCTGGAGAGCGTCCTGCCTTCCTCTGCAGGGGAGAACAGGCCCCTGCCCGTTATAGAGTTGGGAGGGACCTTAGAGGTCATTCAGTCTTTCCCACCCACTCACCTTGGGCAATGCAGGCTATCCATTTGACAGGTAGAGCAGTTCCCCAGGGAACTGGTCTAGAACTCAGCTATTTCTGGCTGGGGGAAAACTTTTTCCTCTTCTGGACTGCAGGGAAAGTGTGCCATGCCCGTCCTGGGCTGGCGCCCAAAATAGCCACACTAGCATCAGCAACCTTCCAGTCCAGACAGAAGATATAACCGGTGCCCACACTGCCTTTTGCGTAGGCAGTCCCAGCTTCTTCTGCCACTGGAGCCCTGGGGAAATCGGAAGTTAGGGGGCAGTTCTGAGAAACATTGTTGTGCTTGGAAACTTGTTCTGTCTGGAATCCTGATGCTGTCCAGTCTTTTGGGATTTGTGGATCCCACGTCACCAGGCGGTATTTCTGTCCCTAGTTTCCCCCTGTGCTGGCTGAGGATGATGGGAGCCATAATCCAACCCATCTTGGGAAAGCATGTAAAAAACCCAACAGCCACCCATGAAGAACAGGAGTGGATTGCAAGCTGCAGAACTTGGCGGGGAGTTTCCAAGGGTTAAAATTCCCTGGCTTTCTGTATAGGCACTCTTTCCCCAGACTATAAAAGCAGTTTCCCAGCTTTTATGCATTACCTCCTGGTCTATTCTGGTAAGTTGAAATTCCTCCTCAATGATCACTTACCGGCTTCTCCAAAGGCTTCATTGTTGGCAGAAAGAGCTTGATGCTAAAAAAAGGCGCTAGGATTCGGGGCGTTCTGGCCCCCTCTTCTGCTTATTCAGCCCCATGTCTTTCCCATTGGCTCCTCCCGCAACCCCCAGCATTTCTGCAAAAAAGAATTTGGTCCGCAGCCTGCTCAGGTTCTGGGTTCCACCCAACTCCTCTACCTTTGATCCGATTTTTTAAATTACTCCTTTAGCTCGAATTAAATTAGCAACATCAGCTACAGGGGGACAGGAACACTAAGGTGCGCCAGCTTTCCCTCTGCCAAGCAGCCGCTAGGCGGCGTGAGGGCCCAGTCCCTGCCTCCTGGCCTACCCGACCTCACAGGGTTGTTGTTCGGTTGCATTTTCTTTTAGGTTGGTTTTTTAAAATTTAACTTAAAAACATACTACAAAAGGCAAAATGCGGGGAGGCGAGGGAGGGCTACGAACCCCGCCGTGGGCTCCTCGCGGAAGGACAGGTGCGCGGGACGGCAGCGCGGCAGAAAGGGCGAAACGAAGCCCCACGTGGCCGCGCGCTGCTGCGTAACGTGGGGACGCGGAGGGGGCGCGCCCGGGAGCGCTCGCGTGCATGCCTGTCCGGCGCCCCCCGGCAGCCTCCCTCCCTCCCCCGCCCTCTGCTCTGCTCTCCCCGCCGCGCCCCCTCCCCGTCTCCAAAGCGCCGCCTGGACGACGCGCGCCCGCGGGAACCTTCCTGCCGCGCTCGCCCCGCGGCGCGTCTCGCTCCGCCGCCGCCCGCCCGCCGGCCCGCCACCGCGTGCGCCCGATCCGCCGGCGCCACCATGCTCGCCCCGTACGGGCAGCGCGCTCTGGGCGCCCTCATCCTCTTCGGCACCGTGGCCGGAGTGATGGCCGTGCTGGCCTCCCTGCTCATCTTCCAGATCCAAGCCGGGGGCCGGGCCGGGCCGGCGGGCGGCGGGGGCGGCGGCCTCCCCGAGGACGTCCGGCGGCGGCTGCTGCCCCTCGCGGCGGTGCTGGCCGCGCTCTGCCTGGTGCTCAGCCTCAGCTGCCTGGTGCTCAGCCTGCTGCACGGCTACTGCGGCGCGGAGCGGTGCGCGCCGCCAGGGGACGCGCTCGGGCCGGACAGGTGGGTGCCGGGGTGGGCTGGGGGCCGCCAGGGTCGCGGAATCGCGCAGGTGGGACGGGAGGGAGGGAGGCGGGGTTCCCGCACGCGAGTGCGGGGGTCGGGTGGGCTGATGGGTGTGCACGGGGCTGAAAGCATTGGGGAGACGCAAGCCTGCAGTCAGCCTAAATGTTGGGGGGCGGGGGCGCCAAAAAGTAAGGGACAGTGCATCCATTTTGCAAGGCTTTAGAAGACAAAAGTTGTGAACTGCTGTTTAACTAATTGCTTTGTAAAGAGGGTCGGGGCAGGGCTGTCTTAACAGCATGATGGGCCCCGGGGCAAAGCAGTGTACTGGGCCCCCTAGGACAACTAAACTACTGTTAATTTTGGAAGTTTTCCAATTTCCCAAGGGTTAACAGACACAGATTAGTATGGGGCCCACGGGCAAGTGCCCACCAGGCCCATGCGTTCAGATGGCCCTGGGTAGGGGGCTACACACCCGGTGTAGTCTTAAGGACTAGCTCCATGGGCAGTTTGCAAATTGCTGTTTGTCTTGCCTTTCTGCCACACCAAGCTGGCAAGGGGCAAGGAAAGACACTGTGGAAAACCCCATCAGGACAGCTCTTGCCCATGTGCCCCAGCTTCTGGGGCGCATGGGCCAGCAGCCTGGGCACCTGTTCTCTCCTAATCCCCCACAAGCAAGAAAGGGGGCCTGTTGCACATGTGTTAGGACAAGTGTTGTGAAGGAGTCAGGGCTGTCATGTACGGGCGGCCCGAGCAAAATGGCTCAAGAGCTCAGCTCAGAGGAAGGAATGTGCTGGCAAATCAAAGGATCAGCTTTTCCAAGGCTGGTGCCCTTTGGGTGTGTTGGACAGCAACTCCCATCATTCCTAGTCTGCATGCTCGTGACAAGCTCTTGTGAAAGGCTTTGGGGCTGGTTTTCTTCCAAGCATGAACCCCCACAAAGGACAGAATGGGCTAGACGGCTGTCTCAGCTCGTTTGCAAGCTCCTTGGATGAGGCAGGCAGCTGGACTGCCATTCCCATCAGCCCCAGCAAGCATCAATAATAATGGGAGTTTCAGTCCAATAGTCCTTGGAGGGTTGTACATTCCCCATCTCTGTGCTAGGACCCTGGAAATTGGAAGAAGACTGTCTTGGTTTATAATGGGCTAAGCGAAACATCCTGCTTGCACTGGTTCTGAACTCTGGGGAGCCATTTTCCTGACTTAGCTGGGTTCCTTCGTGTTCTTCAAAACTACTTGCTGTGAGAGATAAAATTAAGCCTCCCCAAACAGGAGCAGTATACCTTGGATTATGCTAGTCATAGTCCTAGCAAATTTCTTAGCTGCACCCCTGACTGAGATCCAAACAGTCATTGCCCACATACTTACAAGGATGCCCACAACCCTAAGGTCTAGAAGCTTGTTAAGTCTGCTGTTTACGCAACAGATGTGAATCTTGCCTCCAGGACCGCATTCTGGATTTCCCTGCTACTTCTGCAGAGTGATAGCCACAGACAAATTACCCCCAGAGCTAATTCAGGCTGACGGTGGCCATGTTATTTTTATTAGTGTAAAGTAAAATTCCCTTTCAGCAGGCCGTGCCAGAATCCAACTCTGTGGAGTGAAAGTTGTTCATTACAGCTTCGGCTCACGTCCGGCATCTTTCCCACATTGCCATTGTCATTCTGAATTACCACTTCAGATTTTTTTTCCCTCCCTCCTTTCCTCCTTTTTTTCTCAGTTGTTCTGGAGTTTGGCAAACATAGTTCAGAGACCCCCCCCCCACCCTCCCAATCCTTTTTCTGCAGTTGACAAAACAAAGCCGCTTCTATCCTCCCAGATAATGAAAGAAAAAATGGGCAGCCATTCCAAATTTTTCTTGTTCCTGAGATTGTGGCTCAGTGCAAAGATGGGTTTTTTTCTTGCTTTCTTTTCAAGAAACTCGTGTGCTTCTTTCTATTAAAGGTCTCTAGTTATGGACTGAATTGCAGTATTCGCCAGATCCTTCAAGACTGCTGGCAGCAAAATATAACCTCCCCCCCTAAAACACCACACAAAATACCTCCACCAGCTCTGGGCAAGAATTTAGGAGAAATAGTTTTGGCACTTTGATTAGCTTTAGTAGGTTTGTCACTGCAGCTATGAGTTTTTCTTCTTGAGGTGGTACTCGGAACCATAAAGACCTGGGACTCAGGCCCACAGCTCTAACGAAGAGAGAGCACATATTTGCAAATGCTAATTTACATGTGCTCTAACATGTTCCCTCTTGTCCAAGACTAAATCCCATTGAATGCAGTGGTATTAATTCTGAGCAGGCATGTCTTGGGTTGCTCTGTGTGAACCAAATCGAGAGATTTATGATCGATCTGTACAATTTCTCGGTGTTCCAGACATACTCATATCAAAGAGAAGCCCGGATTGCAATAAATACCAAAAACAGAACAAGACACCCAGAAAAAGCCTGTTTCAAGAGGAGTGGTGATACACAACATTCAAAAGCTGAGCCTCTTCATAAAAGCAGCTCAGAATAAATGAAATTTGTAAGGCCCTTTTAAAAGCCAAGCACTGTAGAAGTCCAGGTTGGACCCTTTGGGGGTTTCACAAACTTTTCACTTGGGGTGGAGGGGAGCTTCAACGACACCCTTTCTGGACACTTCCTAAAAGAACCCTAAGATTGTACCGAGGAAGAGGAGGGCAGGATGCGCTCCAACGGAGCCAAGCTCAGGGAGCCAAGGCTCCATTTGGATGCCAGGAAGCACTTCCTGACAGTCGGGACCCCGAGGGTGTGGAATGGGCTTCCCCGGGAGGTGGTTGAGGCCCCATCGGTGCAGGTGTTCAAGGACAGGCTGGACGTCCACATGGTGGGCATGTCGTGAGTGGAGCCGGCTGGAGCCGGGGGTCAGACTAGATGGCCTGGGAGACCCCTTCTGACTCGTTCTGTTTCTATGTTTCTAAGATGGGATGTGTGTAGTTCTTCTGTCATATTCTTTTACTGCAAGTGTGCCAAGCAATGAGCGGGGAGGGTCCTTTGGGTGATTCCAGAAGCCCAGGGGGTTCCTCCTCATTGGGTTGGATTTGTTCAAGTTCTCACTTATCCATGAAGCTCCATGGGAGATTTGGGACCAGTCCCTGATTCTCACCTGCCTTGCAGGAATTTATTTTTATTTTATTTATTTATTAAAAGCTTTCCTATCCCATCCCCTACAGTACGTCTCAGGATGGCTTAACAATAAATGAATAGAACAGCCCACAGCATTTGACCATTAATACACTAAAACCCCAATTAAAATCAATTAAACATTAAAATAACGGGAAAATAAAAAGGCTTTTGCCTGATGCCGAAAAGAATATAACGTCAGTGCCAGGCGAACCTCTCTGGGGAGTGTAATCCATTGTGAGGATAAAAATGGGGAGAGGCATCTATTTCCCCTGCCACAGAGCAAAACGAATCTGCACAGATTGCTTATACCTTGGCCTTCTCCCTTTCTACTCTGGCAGGGGTGATTGGTTCCTTCTGAACAGCCGCAAGGTACGTCACATTGCAGTTGGTTTGTTCTGCTGCGGCGTCTCAGTCTACCTGGCAGGTATGTGGCTTCATCCCCCACAACCCTTTACCTTGACTCATTCTTTTCACCCTTCAGTTGGAAGAAGAGCTCAAAATGTGCACTTAGAAAAAATCAAGAATTATTTTCAAGGTTCTGAACGGTATTTTTAAAAAAGATGTGCTGGGGTAGGGGATGGACATGGATGGGAATTTCCAAAAACTCTTGTGTGTATGTGTGTGTTTAAAAGCCAGGGATTTCAAAGCCGTAAAGCTTGCTCCCTGCAAAATTGATCTCATGATCTGCGTGATTCCCAGTCCAGGTTTCTAAGGCTGCAGCTTTGTAGCTTTGCTTTCTTGGAAGCAAATTCTGCTGCGCTCAGGACCAGCTCGTATATCTCGAGATGCAGAGAGGCAGTCTAGGGTAGTGGTTAGAGTGCAGGACTGTGACTGGAGTGATCCAAGTTTGAGTCTCCCCTCTTTTACTTTTTTTTAAAAAACAGAAAAAAACATAAATACAACATATCACAACAATTATTATAACATAACAAAAATACAATAATTAAAGAATAAATAATAAAGTGCCCCCACCATCCCGGAGACCAATACAACTACCATTTAATTCACATATTATAATAATATATACTTCAATTATATCCATATCCCCTCCAGAAATTCATATAATCTTGCTTAAGTTTGCAGCCTTTACCTTCTATCAGTACTGCTTTTACCAAATCTTCCCAAATTTCATTTTATCTATTTGCTTTCATTAACCCTCTTTTAATTTTTATTTCTATCATCAGTTTATCATGAATTACCATATTCCATATTTCATTATACCATTCATGCCTTTGCAAAACCCATGAGTCTTGATGCTCACCGAGCGACTTTGGATGGATTCCTCACATTCCACGCAACCTACTTCGCAGGGTTGTGGGAATAAAAATGCTGGGGGAGGAGGTCACCAGCTACCTCAGCTTGGGTGGGCCAAAGGAAGAGCAAAGAATAAGCAGGTGAAAATCTTATGCACGCCTGTGACTTTGGTGCTGCTTTGCAAATGGTCCCCTGCCTGAACAGGTTGCAATTTGGTGCTGAAAGGCCCATGCAACCACGTCTGTTGTCCGTGTTGATGTTTTCTTTATTAATCAGAGCCCCCCAATACCTTTTGCCCCGTCTCCAAAATTCCAGCGCTCTCCCTCTACATGCTGGTGCTGTTTGAGATTGAGACAGGCATCACCACCGCTTGCATCCTGTCCTCCGGAATCGTCGTCCTCTTCATCACCGTGACCCATACCCTGATCCGGGCCTCCCGGGCCTCCCGGGACAGCCAGGGAGAGCTCTCGCACACCCTGTATGAGAACGACTCGGCCCACGGCAGCGGTGGCGAAATGCCCTCCAGGCACCACAACAGCACCAGAAGTGCAGCTGTGCCCAGGGTGCGCCCGGAGACGCAACGGGAGTGTTTGTACCCGCCGTTCCTGGAGCGGAAGTCCCAGCTCACCACGTCGGCAAGCAGCAATGTCACGTCCTCGGGGAGCCCTGGGCCAACGCTGGAGAAGAGGATGCACAGGACCCTTTCGGCAGAATCCGGCCTTCTGCAAGTCCACAGGGCGCCCTGGCAGGGGGTCCCCCAAGAAATGCAGCACGCTCTCCCTCGGAAGCAGAGGGGCTCCAGGAAAGATTCAACTTTGGTGTGAACCCTTGAAAGGGGGGAAGGTTTTTATTTCCCCCGCTGTTCTCTGCAAAGACCTTCTGAGAACTTGGAGGCTTCTCACTGCTCCACAGTTGAGAGAGCTTGGCTGCTCCACACCATCCATTATCAGTCAGGGGGACTCATTGCAACAGCATGTAGCAACCGGTTCTGAAAAGGGGACTAGGAGAATTTGGAAGTGTCATGGGGAAGGAGTAATAAATATCCCAGTGGCTACTGGTCATAATGCAGCCTCCTTGGCTAAAGGCAGTCTACCACTGAATAGCAGCTGCTGGGAGAAGGTGACTGTCTTCCCAGACTATTTGCAGCTTCCTGAGGATAACTGATCGGCCATGAGATGACGGAATAGCCATGCCTGTGGGTCAGATCCAGCAGGATTATGTCCAGAAACAATTCTCTAACTTGAGGATGCCGTATCTCAAGTCTGCAGACCTCACCCAGCAATACAGCAATTCCCCTAATGACAACACCCCCTTCCTCTGGTCCCCTCCACTTTCCGTCTGGGGGTCTTGAGGACAAAAGCAAGCCCCTCTTGAGCAACATGCTGTACTCAAACCCCCAGCATCCCCAGCTTAACTTGCCGTCCCGGTTTCCTTGAACCTGGCAGTGTTATTGAGTGGGGAAGAGGTTTATAAAACCAAACTCTTGCTTGGGAAATGGCAATGTCTGCTAAACAGGGAACAGCAGCTGGCACAGGAAAGTCCTGCTCACCTCCCTGTGCTGTTCCCGCCAATCCATTCCGGCTGCACGCAAGAGCAAGTTCCCCATAGATAAAAGAGACACTCAGGTATTGTGACTGCCACCCCGAATCTGGCTATGCTCCCAGAAGGAGAGAAAAAGTACTTCATGTCCCTTTTGTTGGTTTGTAAGCTTAACAAATAATTTTCTAAGAAATCCACTCCTTTCAGGGCGATGGGAGAAGTGAAAGAAAAAAAGAAGAATATATAGAATGAGAAGAAGGGGATGCCATTCAGTAACGAATTCTGCTTGCCATGCCGAATTTCCCAGGTCCGGGGCCCCCAGGAACTCCGGGCAGAGCCAGGGAGCAGAACCCAGCCTGAATCCCATGCCTGGCCAGTGCTGGCAAACTGGTCTGGATGGCCCACTAATCACAGCTGGTATAAGGCAGCTGCTTGTGTGCTTCTTTAAACCAGCTCTGCTTTACAATCAGGACTAGGATCTTGTTCCATGTTTTGAGGGGCCTCTCCTTAAGGCAGCACCCTCCCCTCCACACCTTGTAACAAGCAAACAACAGGGGAAACACCACCGTAAAACAACATGGAAAAACCTCCCACATGCAGCTTTCGCCTAGGACTGTTTCACAATAAGAGTTTTGCAACACCTGATATTTGCTTTGGATTTTTAATAATATTAATAATAACAGCAATGTGTGGAAATGGATAACGCCTAGGGGCCAGCATAGATCTTCATGCTGGCTGTGCAGGGCAGGTCTGTCCACAGCAGTTGTTCCTCTAGGTAAGGAAGCAGTTTCAAGCAGTTGTTCCTCTAGGTAAGGCAGGCGCTAGTCTGGTGCCATGATCTGTGGGGCTTCCAAACACTGCACTACCTGCGGGTGGAATTCAGCCGATCTTTCATGGCAGAGGCATGTCTGAGCATCCCTTCGATGCTTTTGAAATACACACTGCTGTCCTTCATGTTCTTGATGGCACTGGAATGGGAGAGAGAGCCCAAGGCGGTGTTATGGGGGCAGGTTGGGCGAGATTGTTCCAGGACCGCTGAAGTTCACTTTACCTTCCGCCCCGGGTGTGCCACCGCAATGCTGAAGAGTCAAACAGTTTGGGCAGTTTGTTTCCCTCCCCTGCACCCATGTGTATGACGGAGTGTGCTTCCTTCCGAACCTGAGATCTACACTCCAGGCATATCCCTGCAGCCACAAGGACTAGAAACTTGGAACTCTCCTCCTTAACATCCAAGAGCATAAAATCTGCCAAGGTTCTACCATAGCAGTCATTTGGAATGAGCAGAGAAGATCACTCAGAAGTGAACACTGCAAGGGACTCTGCCATTCAGCAGATCCGTTGTGAACCTTTGTCTAACGAACAATTATTCTCTTTTCCATTTACCTTTTTAAAATGAGCCAGTTTAATGCCTTTACTGCTCTTGCTTTTACTGATGGTTTTAAATTGCTGTACACCTCCTTAATGGCTTTTGAACAGGTAAGGCAGTGTGTAACTCTTAATAAACAAATAAAATCATATAGGCAGAGTGTCGGTGCAAGGATGTAGAGAAAGCCATAGAATGTGATACTGAGCCAGGGATTTAACTTCCATTTTTCAAAAAGAGCATCAGCAAACAAGTTTCTAGTCCTTAATGCAAAGACACAGTTGAAAGTGTGTCTTTTAAGGATTTTTTTAGGAGTACACTCAGAATGATTTCTTCACCAAATCTTTTGTTGTCCTTCTCTCCCCATCTCTGGCATTTTTAAAAGAATTGGTGGAAGAGAGGTGTAATTTTTTACCGCCAGTACCTGCAAGCATATTCTACGGTGTAAATAGCTCCTTGGCTCTGCTCCTCCCAGCTCTGCATGTTGGCCTGCAAAGACAGAGGAGAGGTGAACCCCTTCTGGTTTGGGAGAGGTAGAGGATGGGAAATTTTCCCTAATCTGTTCAGAAAACAAAGCAAACTAAAAACAATCATCTTTGCCTTTGGTCAGCTCCAATCAGTGTTGCCCTTCAGCTTGTTGCCGGCCTCCAATTTAAATTTGATGTTCTTCCCTGCTCTGTGTTATCCTAGCAACAGCCCTGTGAGGAAGTTCAGGTCCAGATGCGAACTGCAATGTTTCCAGTCTTTTTCTGACATCCTAACTGAAGAGTGCAGAATTCTTTCACAAAAAGGGCCGATTCAGGGCGTTGTGCTGTATGAATTTGAAGGGCCTTCCACCTTTTCCGTTCTTACCCACACAACACACATCCGTTTTTCAATTCTAATCCTCAAACTATCCAACTGGCTCACTCAGCCAACACTGATTAACTAAAGCCGGCTAATACTTAAGACAATGGAATTAACGACGTATTAGCATGGCAGCTAAGTAATGAGGTGGGCCACAGTCCCCCAAAGATGCCGAGAAGTGGAGCAGGGCAGGGGCCGAAAGATGCTGCTTTCTATAAGATGGGAGCAATGGGATCTCAATTCCCTCTCTTGGTGGTATGGAGTTTAGCAAAGAGATACTTGGGAAAAGACAGGCATTAGGAATAAATCCTTCATAGGATTATTATTTTTTTTAAGAAGAAAAACTTTGCTGGAAGATGCTGCAGTGACCTTCGCAATTCACCAGTGTGTTTGCAAAATTCACCTCTTCTCAAAGCATCATTAATACAGTGCCCTGAAATAAAGTAAGTTTAATCATGGGTGAACGTTTCCCTTCCCTTCTGTTATTTGAAGTAGTTAACCTTCCCTGTGTGAGCTTAAGTGGACTCCAGGTGGAGGACAGGAAGGCCTGGAGGAATGTTGTCCATGGGGTCACGATGGATCAGATGCAACTTCGCAACTCACAACAACAAAACCTTCCCTGGCTGGCCTTACTGTAGCCTAGAGCTGCCTTCAGCCCCAGCCGGTGTTGGAGATGCTGGGAGCTGGAGCCCAACACAGCTATGGTTGAGTGGTAGAATTTGTGCTGCCCTTCAGAGAGGAAGGAAACTCACTTAGCCTCACATACAGCACCATTGGAAGGATCTGACCCTTACTGGCTGGAGCCCATGAGCATTGGGAAATGCTCTTGATAGAAGATTTTGAAATGCTGCTTGTGTTTATGGAGGTCCTGCGTTTATCCTCTTGTACCCAAGGAGATTGGAAATCAAATAGGTCAAACTCTTGCTCCATTATTCCAAAATTATGTGTTCTGCCAGAATGTCTCAAGCAAAGAAGTGCTGTTTTCCCTCATACTTAAAAAAAAATAATCTAGTAATGTCATGGACTGAACTTGAGACCTGCCTTGACATTCTAGTTTTCTGCTTGCGAAGAGAAATCTCGTAGCCCGGAGAAGAAATTGACTGTGCTTTGCTGCCTTAGGCAGAACAGGGTTACGAGCTTTTCTGGCATTTGTGAGCATAGAACCATAAGCCTACTTTTCTTCTCATTTTGGATTTGGAACATGGCTTACCTTATGCTGGGCTAGTTCTGGGAGGGATCTCCGGACATGCTCTTGGAGCCGATACAACGCGACAGATGGCTCATTGGCCAAGATGTACATACTCTCTGTGAACTTGTCTGTCACTGGAAAAAGGAAAAGTGCTTTTATTGCTTCATTTCTTACCAAGAAAGTCTTGCTTGCCCACGTTTCTAGTGTTGGAGCAGCAACACCGCTGTTTACGTAATTAAATGCCACCAACCATGTGCCAGGGGGTGGATCAGCTGCTCTGGGGAAGGCGTTTGGTTGGCATGTGCTAAGGGGGACGTGTTAGTGGGATGTTCAGCCTGATCCAACAGGGCTCTTCTTAAAAGGGGTACTGGGATTGGGCAGGGCTGGGGAGACAGTGAAGGAGGTAGAGGAGAGCCAGTGTGGTTAGACGGGACAGTGGAGACTGGAATGCAAATTTCCACCCCTGGGCCATGCAGCTCACTGGGTGATTTTGGGCCAGTCACTGACTCTCAGCCTAAGCTACCTAACAAGACTGTTGTGAGGAGGACTTTGCAAGCCTCTCTGGTTTCCTTGCAAGAAAAGTGGAAATGAAACAAATCTGTTCTATTTGGCAGGGGAAGGGGAATAGAGCAGAGAAAGATCAACATTTCAAGGCGAAAGGTTAATAAATACAAAAATAAAAACATAAAGGGAGAGGTGCCAGAGATGAATGGGCCTCCATGAGAGGTCGCTGAGGCCCCATCGGTGCGGGTGTTCAAGGATAGGCTGGACGTCCAAATGGTGGGCATGTCGTGAGCGGAGCCGGCTGGTGCCGGAGGTCAGACTAGATGGTCCGGGAGGCCCCTTCTGACTCGCTCTGTTTCTATGTTTCTATGCAGTATCGCCAGGAAAGCACACACACACACTGAAGGGAAATGCACTTTGCACAAGTTTAGAGGAACTCTTGTTTTGTTTGGTTTTTAGGGGACAACTAATGGTACTGAACAGAGATTCTGGCACGAGCGCTCCACAGTGCTGTGAGCGGGCTGATAACACCCCCCAACTGTCTCAGCTGGGGGTAAAGTACAAACCAAGCCCCCGCTGCTCTCATTCCCGCCCGGACCTCTTTCCGTGTGACACGACCGGAAGTCACCGCGGCCGTTACCTTTCTTCACCTTCAGCTGCATCTCGGGCTCTTCCATCTTCCCGGGACGAGCCCGGTCCGGCGGACGAGGCGACTGGATAGCGAACTCAGAGCGGGAAATCTTCCAGCGGAGGAACTTCCGGCAGGCAGTGTGCATCGTCCCAAACAGTCCCTCCCGGAAACACGGCTTGGTGAAAAGGGTTCCCATTGGTTTTGCTCTGACGTCTGCGCCTTCTTGCCATGGTTTAGGGATGAATTTAAAGCCTGGGGCCGCCGCAGGTGCTAGGACTCAGAGCTGAAAGGATTTCAGGTTTAGAAACTCACTGACCCGCCTCCGCATCTCCCTTATAGAAAGACAATGCATGCCTTCTTACGCATATTTGCTCAGAAGGTAGGATCTAAATGCAATGCAGTAGCAACATCTTATACTGTTGTCTCAACCGAGCAGTTCTGACAAACCATAGCTTGTTAACTATAAACAACCCATAAAGAGAATCCACGGTTTGTTGCTGGGTTACCAACTGTAGGTTGTTCATGATCAAGCGTTTACTCTCTCTTCTGAACGAGTCACTTTTAGCAGCTCCAAGACAAGCAGAACTCATACTAGTGACCACCCCAGCTGGGTAAACCGCAGGGAATTAGCCCTGTTGAATGCCTGTCTGCTGTTAAAAGCTGCTGGGGGGGTTTGCTGGGGAGAGGGGCCATGTTTTAGGGTTCTGGACCTAGTCGTGTCAGGTATGGACAGTCCTTAGATGCCAATCTGTATGCACTTAAGCCCTGTGGCAGTGGGATACCCTCCTGCCGTGTCTGCCCAGCAGAGCCCAGGCAGATGCCCCAAATCCTGCCTGCATGGCTCCTGGGGCGGTTGTTACTGGTGTCGCTGTGAGGGGAGCTGTCAACTTGACACTGGGCACTGGTGCTGGAGATGCAAACCCCAGCGCCTGGCCCTTTAAGATCAGCCGAGCCCGGAAAAGCCGCACTTGCAGGTAAAGGCAGCTGATAGGCGGACCTGAAGCGCGGGGCGGAGCCAAATTCCAGCCGCTCATTCATAAGTTAAGCCTTCTTCCGCACTCGCTTGGCAGCCCTTAAAGGGCCAGCCCGCCTGGATAAGGTGTGTGTGTTTTTCTCTTTCCTCTTGCTCGTTGGAAGCAGGAGGAGCTGCTGTCAGTTGCATTGTGGGAACGGAAAGTTACTTTCTGTTTTGGAGTGCGAGGGTGGCGGGGGCGCGAAGGTGTGAAGGGGGCAAGAGGAGGCAGTGAGGGGCCACCCGCCGAACTGGGGCCCCTGGCTGGCATGGCTTGACTAGCTGACGGGAAGCAGAGAAAATTCCTTCTGGCGCACGCTGGAGTGGACAAAAGCAGCAGCAACTGCAGGAAAGGAGCTGCTGAGGAGGGGGCTTCTCCTCTTCCAGGAACTGGCACTGGGGTGGGTTATGAATGAGATCAGGGCCAGTCCTGCTGTTCAGATAGATTTTGGAAGGGGTATTGGCACTCTCCCCCTACCTACAACCTGGTCCTCACTCCCACTGGCAACAGAACCAGTTTGCTTTATCATGTTAACAGTGCAACCACTGGAGGGGGGGAGGGTTCTGCCTGGCACACTGCCCCTACCAAGCCTCGGAATAAGCTGGCTCATTTGTTTTCCATGGCTTGTGTTGGAAACCTGCAACCACGGGAGCTAACCTGAAAGGGTTTGTTCTTTGATTGATTGCTTTCTTATGTTTCTGCCTTGCCTTCTTTCCTTTCACAGGGAATCCAAGGCAGCTTACAAAACCATCACCTCCAATTTACCTTTGCAACAATTCTGTAAGGTAAGCCAGGCTGAGAGTCTGGGACTTGCTCCAAGGGCAGCTTTATGGCTAAGGAGTGAAGAGGGGCGCTTGAATCCAGATTTCCTGGGACCCAGTCTGCCATTTTCACCACTATACTCCACTGCATCTCTTTGATTTTAGTGGCTAGGTATTTATGAATGTAATTTTGATTCTCCCTAGTCATGTAACGTCGGTGTGAGCTTAAGTGGACTCCAGGGGATGGTGGAGAACAGGAAGGCCTGGAGGAATGTTGTCCATGGGGTCGCGATGGGTTGGATGTGACTCCGCAACTAACAACAACAGTCATGTAACATCCAGGCCTCTTTCAACTTAATTCAAATATTATTTGACTTTGTACGGTGTTGTATAAGAATCCTCCCTCTCTCCCCCTGTGAACTTCCAACAGAGGTAGGGCTAGACAGGAACCAAACCAATGAAGATCTAAGAACTGTAGCAGTTAAGAAACTAAGTTACAAACGTCTCGCTTGAATTTCATCTCTGCTTTAAGTTCAGTTGGTGGCCTTAGGTGAGCTGCCCCCTCTAATCCTCAGTCCCACTCACATCTGCAATAGAAGGTTTTCAGTATCAGATGCCTATCAGTTTCACATATGTATATTAACTGATGGGTGGGAGAAACGGACAAGAAGCTATATCGGCTACGTTTCTCTGCAGAAGTGCTGGGCAATTATGGTCTGGAGAAGTCCTGATTTCTTGTTCAAAGATTAATAGACTTAGATGTTCAATAATTGAGAACTTCTGCTAATAAAACGTATTCTTCTCTATTTCATCTTAACTGCTATTCGGATGGATTTACTCCAGCCCCATAACTGTACACATTAACTACCCCAAATCACAGGAGAGTATTTATTCTTGCCTGTTTTAATGTGCTACCAACAGCACAATGAAAAGGACAAGTTAACAAGACCCTGTTCAATGAACGGGGATGTTACTTCAGTGCTGGAGCAGCAGAAGCAGCGGAACACATTCTCTTATATTGTAGTTTTTATAGGGACTGCAGTGAGAAATTGATTAAACCATTAACAACAGATCTCTATGGAAATAATTCCTCCACTCTCGTATCTGTTTGCTTAAGGGATGTATCCTCTGACGTTACTGGAAATATTGCCAATTTTTTTAATGACAGCAATGCAGATTAGGGAAAATGTAGTAACCCACTTGGGTAAAAATATTGTATAAATTGTACTTGTTTTAACTGGCTTTTAATTTTTCTACTGTTATTTTATCTGTTTATTAATCTTCCTGGTCTGTGACCATAAAATAAAAACTAACCAATCTTAGATCTGATCCAGCAGGGTTTTCTTACATACATACATTCATTTATTTATTTATTTACTTACTTACGTACTTTATTTGGGTATTTCTAACTCATCCATTACGGTTTGTCTCTGGATGGCTTGCAATATAAAATACCTAATAAATACACCATAATACACATAATAACATACTTAGCTTGTTGTAAAGATTAAGAACTACAAAAATGTTAGTAATTATGATTATTTTTCCATAACGTGCATTCATCCTGCTGGTTAATCCAGTGAGGTGGAATGGCCTACAAAACTCAGCATCCCCCAGCTAAGAATGCTGGGAGTTGTAGGACATTTTTTGTCCAAAGATATATCAGACGGTTCCTTAACATTGCAAGGTTTTCTCCTACCTGCTTTTGAAGAAGTTAGTGGATAAAACTATTTGGAGAAAGCTACATCTTGAATCTCCATACAGGAAAGCAGTGATAACAAAAAAGATTTAAATATCAAAATTAAAAATGAAAATAGACAGTATTCTATTCCAGCCCTATCTTGTTCGGTTATCATTCTGTTCCAGGATGTGTACTGGACAGCAGAAATTTAGTGTTTCAGATGGATGTGCCAGTGTAAGAATTTCTGGGCAGCGCCACATTCAAATTTTTATTTCAATATGGGATTTACTTTTTAATATTCCTCACTATTGCCACATTCCTCTAAGACAATTGGAAAAGTGGTCCAGCCCTTATTATGTTCACAACATCCCTGTGAGGTAGATTACACTGAAAAGTGAGGACTGCCCTGGTGTTCCCCAGAGAACAAGGCTTTCCCCATTATTTTCTTTTCCATACAGTTTGGTTCTGTTTTGTTGAAAATCAGATTAAAAAAAACAACAGTATAAGCAAACTAGGAATTGAGAACCTGTGGCCTTCCCAATATTGCACTACAGCCTCCATCAACCAGCATGGCCATGGAGAGGAATGATGGGCATTGTAGTCCAGCAAGATAGTGAGAGAATCCACCAGTGCATGACCCTTGCAGCTGAGCAGGATTTGAATTCAGGCCTTGTTACTCTTAAGTCTTACGAGTTTTCTTACTCTTCTGTCCCAGAAGTTGTGAGGCGCTGCAGGGCCTGACAAGGCAAACACCGTAGGAGCTTTTGCACGTTCTGGAGAAGTTCACATGGCAGCTATGACCCAAAGCACCAACCTGGGAGATCCGAAAATATCTTCTAGTGACAATGAGGATAGCGACACACCAGTAATCCTACACTTGTACCCGTGCTCAGACGGCAAAGATGACCAGAATCCGGGTCAAGGTGGTGCTGCCACCAACGGTAGGTTCCCCAAGCTAGCACATGGCTAGGAAGAAGGGACCCTTTTAATAAATTTCTGCATTATTTCTGGTTGCATGGTTCACATGGCAAAACCCTGGCAGTGCCAAATGTACGCTACAATTTTAATGGAGGACAGATAAAGGAAAAGAAAAGGCAGAATGCCATGCCAGCCCTGTGGCATTCATAGAATCTCTGCTTTCATGCACAAATCAAAAAGGAAGCTTCTAGTCCTCATGATTTCAAAAGCCTGCTTGGAGGTACCCAGGTGCGATTTTAATGCAACTTCAGGAACTGGACAACTGGTTGAACCAGGCTGTAATCCTATACACACTTCACTTTGGAGTCAGTTCCATTGAACTCAATGGGTCTTTGGCCTGAATAGAACTTCCACAGGATTGGGCTGTATGTTTTCCAGTTCTCAGTTGGCAAAAGAAGAGGGTTTAGGTGTATAGCTGATGTGCTCTGTCTCCAGGATAGTGAAATCAGACTGAATTGAGATGAAAATGTAGATTACATTTGTGCAAATAAGTTAAATTTATGTCAGAGTAGAATTTAAGTTGCTTATGGATTTTGATCTGGAATCAAGCCAAATCCTACATTTGAATCTTCTCCCACGCTAACTGGTTACCTTTCAGATTTTCATTTATTTAGTCTTCAATTTGTACGCCACCAATGAATCCTGATGGTTTCTCTAGGCAGCTGACACTAAAAATACATTTTTCTGGATCTCAATGTCCTTTTCAGTTTCAACAGCCCCAGCAAGCATGGACAATCGTCATGGATGCTGGGAGTTGTACTCCCAAAGATCTGGAGGCTGAGGAAGATTTACCCAATCAGGGTTGGGCAACTTGTACTTTTCTATCTGTTTTGGACTACAACCCCCATGGGCCTTAGCCAACAGTAAGAGATGGGGATCGTGGATGAAAACAGCTGGAAGGCTACAAGTTGATCACCTGAAATAACCTTCTCTGCTCTCACTCCCTTTCCTTCTTCTCCTCCTGCCATCACCTCTGCATCAATATACTGATTGTAACCTCCGTGGGGCAGAGCACTATATTTTGGATCAGTTTCTCAGTTCTGAGCCTGCTGGGGTGGGGACCAGTCCTTTCCTTCTGTGCAAAGAGCACGGACACAGAGTGTGTTTGAAATAATCAGAGTCGGGGCTGGCAGACAGCGGGTCCGAATTTTGCTGGCGTCCTGCCAGCCCCAAGGGAAACAGGCCATTCCTAAACCTTGGAACCTCCCCCAAGAGTATGGCAGTGAGGGAAAGCACATCTATTCTGCCTCTTTGGGGGAGCAGATCCTGGCTCAAGATCACCCCATCTTATGTTTACCCCTTTCAGATGGAGGCCCCTTGAAGCATTCGACCACCTTGACAAACCGCCAGCGGGGAAACAAAGTGTCTGCTTTGCCGGCCACATTGGACAGTGAGTTTTTTCGAAGGGGTACTAGGGTGGGCCTAGTTTGCCCATCTGTGAGAGCAGCTAGGTGGCGCCCACCAGCGAGCAATGCAGGGCCTTTTCTGCAGTGACCCCATACTCCTGGAATAAGTTGCCAGCAGGTTCCGCCAGGCCCCATCACTGCAGTCTTTTAAAAAGGCCTGTGGACATATTTCAGTGTTGACCTTCCCCTCCCATGTCTGCCGTTTGCTATTTTTACTATGTCTTTATTCCATTTTCTTTTTTTATTTCTTTTTTTGCTGTTGGACTCTCCCTTCAGCGGGCTTTTGTTCAGGATGCCAGCTGAGAAATGTTTTAAATAAATCATTTTCTTGCATAACATGTGATCACAGTGACTGTTTCATGAAAAAGTCCTACTCATGCCTACCTGGAAATGAAGAAGGGAGAGCTGGTTGAATGGAGGAGAAGAGAGTTTTAAAACCTTCCCATTGAAATCATCAATACATGATTTTTTTCCCTAAATTTTCTAAATAATGAGTGTCCTGGTAAACACTGCAGGGGGATGAATAGTATTTCTGGGGGGCAGGAGGGAAAGATGGGGCTTATTCCTCCTTTGAAAATAGATCAGAATACCATTATGCAAACTAAGAGTGATTTAAATTTGCATATGTGTAAAGGGCTCAGGATTTATTCTAAAATATCTCAGGTTTAGCTTGCTTAGGCATAGAATTTATTTATGTAGTGGTTCTACACCTGACTTCCCTTCTTAATTATTTTGTTTTTTAGCACTGTCTATTCACCAGCTGGCGGCTCAAGGCGAGCTCATCCTGTTGAAGGAGACTTTGAGAAAAGGTGAGATATGAATACAAGCATGTCTTCCAGTCTGGGAGGTTGGGGGATGGAATTTCCGAAGTGGGAAGACTGCCAGGAATGCAAGATTCCTGCATGGAGCTGGGCGCTGACCCCTCCAGTTCTTCTTATTCCTGTCCACTGGGACTGCTCTTAGGAATACTGGAAGCTGCCTTAACACTGAAGTAACATTCTAGTCCTCATGGCTGGAAAGGAAGAGTCCAGTCTCAACACTGACTCTTCTTGCTGATGGCAGAGTGTAGGATATGGAATAATCAGTTCAAGCTGTGACAACCCAGGTTTAGGCTGGGCATCAGGAAACGCTTCCTCATGGTCAAAGCAACACGCCAGTGGGACCAGCTGCCTGGAGAGGTGGGGGCTCTCCCACACTGGAGGCATCCAGAAAGAGGCTGGACAGCCACCTGAGTGGAGTGGTGTGACTTGGTGTCCTGCAACTGCAGGGGGTGGACCTGATGGCCTTCATGGCCCCTTCCAACTCCACTCTTCTGTGATTCTAAGAAAGCCCTATGAGGAGAGACTGAGAGAACTTGGCACTTGCCTTTCCTGTTCAGCCTTGAGAAGAGAAGAATTGAAGGGATAGCCTTCGTAAAGTACTGCAAAAGCTATCCCAAAGGGGAAGGCCAAGGTCTCTTCTTGCTGATACCAGAGTGTAGGATGCAGAACTATCAGCTCAGATTCAGGCTGGATATCAGGAAGAGCTTCCTCACGGTCAGAGCGATAGGGCAGTGGGACCAGCTGCCTGGAGAGGTGGGGGCTCCCCCACACTGGAGGCATCCAGAAAGAAACTGGGCGGCCACCTGAGTGGGGTGGTGTGACTTGGTGTCCTGCAACAGCAGGGGGTGGACCTGATGGATGGCCTTCAGGGCCCCTTCCAACTCCACTATTCCGTGATCCTATGACTAGTACTGAGGACTTCCCAGGTTATAAAGGTAGGATCTTTTTCCTGCTCTGCACAGAGAAGCTGCTGGGATGAAACCTTTGCAGCACAACCTTCATTAAAAAAATAGTCTAAAAAGGTCAAGAAGCAGCAAGCAGCTGGGGCAGAGGCAAGTACCAAGTCAGGGCTGGGGACACCCTGTGGAGGAGCCTGGGAAGTGGGGGCGGAGTGGGGGGCTGCTTTTGTTTGGCAACAGAAACGCTCCTTTGCTTCACAGGTGAGAACTTGTTAAACAAGCCGGATGAGAGGGGCTTCACCCCTTTGATGTGGGCCTCTGCTTTTGGAGAGATCGAAACCGTCCGCACTATGCTGGAATGGGTAAGGACTGGGCATTGGAATCACAGTGGGATGGATGTGTACCTGTACCTGACTTCCTACCTTTCGGGATTTTGCAGCAGAGCCGATACTGCTGACTTTTGCTTTCCCAGAGAACAGTCTACATTGATTAATAAAACTCTAGTCCTGGAGGGCAGGACACAAGAGGAAGGGGGCCGAGACGGGTGCAGGGGAAGCAATCTCCAGGCTCCCACTCTTGCTTAGAGGGTTTTTGCCCTGCACTGCTACCGTGTTCCCCGAAAATAACACCAGGTCTTATATTAATTTTTGCTCCAAAAGATGCACTAGGGCTTGTTTTCGTGTACAACAACCTACATTTATTCATTTATCATTTTAATGTTCAGTTGCTCTGGTTCTATTTTGTGATTTACTGCTTATTGTTTTATACATTATTACTGTTTTAATTCGTCCATTTCATGGGTCCTGAAACTATGGCCCACAGGCCGGATCCAGTCCGCCATGCCCATTTGGGCCTGATTGCTCACAAGGAAGTCCGGAGAAAACAATCTCTGTGCATGCCTGCCCCGCCGCGCGGCACCCGCCCACACTGCCTTGGCGACCCGCGCCTATCGCCAGCCCCTTTCAACTGGCCCCCTGTTCAAAACGTTTGAGGACCCCTGGTCTATCTGTAGTTGTTGTTGTAAATTGTTTTTTTTTTAAAAGCACTGTAAGCCGTCCTGAGATATTTATATAATAGGATGGCATATAAAAGCTTTTGATAAGTAAAATAAAATTTATTCATGCACAAAAAGCTACAATTATTCAAATACAGTCGTACCATCTTCTTCTGCAACATCGTCCTAACGCTCCAAACCCTGAATTGTGTTGCAACAGACGTACTAAATGCATCCGTCTGTCTGATGCTCTTAACTGGGGCTTACTTTTGAAGGAAGGCTTCTATCACGAACATCCTAAGGCTTATTTTCCGGTTAGGTCTTATTTTTGGGGAAACAACTGACCGCCTCTTCACTGTGATGGAATTTTGGGGCGGGGCAGCTTTTTAGGGCCCAACAGCCCTTTGGCTGAAGGATGTAGTCCAAAAGCACATGAAGAATATACTTTCCAGACTAACATTCCAAAAGGCATGGCATTAGGAAAGTTCTTGGGCGAAAGGAAAACGAGGGGGCACACAGAAAATAGGAGGAAGGCAGGCAGAGCCTCCTGCCAAGTTTTATATAGCATTAAACCAAGCTCTCCGCATTTGGGGTGAAGTGAACTTAAGGTGCCGGAAATGAAAACTGGGGAGGAGTGGAAAAGGGCCGATCTTTTGGCAAACCTGCCGATCTCCACAGGGTGCTGATCCCCACATCTTGGCAAAGGCGCGGGAAAGTGCGCTGTCTCTCGCCAGCACAGGTGGCTACACGAACATTATCACCTTGCTCCTGCAGCACGATGTGGACATTAACACCTATGATTGGGTAAGCCTTGCTGCCGTCGGGGACCGAAGCGACAGCCAGGTGGAGTCACCTGAGCAGGGCAGGCTGATCTTTCCCAGGGGTCCCCAGGGCATGGCTCAGTTCGATTCGAACTGCAGAAGAGGCCTGGTGGGAGACGTGGGAACCTGGAACCCCAAGGACCCTGCTCCCCAAATGGCCACGACTCACCCTATTGAATCCCCTCTGCAGAATGGCGGGACCCCACTCCTGTATGCCGTCCGGGGAAACCATGTGAAAAGCGTTGAGGCTTTGCTAGGTAAGTTCTCGGGTCGGGAGACATGTCCTCAATGCAGCAGGGCAAGGTTGCAAGTTTCTAGGCCCTGGTGGAATTGCGCAGATTCCTTGGGTCACCTGCTTGGGAGCTGCGAGGCAGTCTTTTCACCACTGCAGTGTGGAGGAGGCAGCCTTCGAACTTCCAGAATGATCCCAGAAGCCAAGAAAGGGGCCCTGATTTGCCCCACTGCTAGAGCTCAGAAATGCCTCTGGCACAATAACATTTCTGAATTTTCATTTCGGTTGCAGCCAGTTTTCCTACCAAGGCATCAGCGCTCAGGGCGGCTGACGAAAACAAAAATAAAAAATCTCGGATAAAGCTAGCTGTGGTCTGTGACACGTTTGTGCCACACCGGTGTGCACATGGACTGTGTGTTCTCAAATGTTTGCAGTGTGCTAAATAAAAGACCTGTTTTGCCGGGTGTGAGAATTCTTCCTTGTCCAACCCATTCGAAGGTCAAGATTTCCTCCCAGGCTCTGCTAGCAGCTTGAATGTGCCCAGTCTGACTCTGTTAGTTTCGCCTTCCATCAAGACCAGGCCAAGAAGTGCTACTTTGGGGAAGTGTCTGTTTGTGGGGAGGGGGGGCAGTTCTGGGCATCAGGAATGAGTGAGGATCCACCAGGACAAGTCTTAGTTGTGTTTCGGACTCCCCTTCTTGCAAGTGAGCCAAAAATGCCAGTTTGCTTCTTCCATGGGGTGGAAGGAACACAGAGGAGGACTGCGATCCAATTCCTGCTTACATCAGAGTAAGCCTCCCAGAATGCAAGAGGGCTTCGTTTAAAAGCATAGGAGAGTGTGGTTTATGTGCCTTTATCATTAGTTATATTAACTGTTTTTATTGCACTGCTCGCCCCAAGGGTTTCAGCAATAGAGGTGCCCCTACATTGAATAAATCAAAGTTTATATTCAAAATATAACTTCATATCTACCTTTTCTTATCTTATAAAGTGCATTTAAATGTTTTAAATGTGCATTTGTGTGTGTAAATGTTATTAACCACATATATAAATGTGGGGGGTGCCTGTTTATTGGCTACGGGTTTGTCAGTCTTCAAGTTTCCTCAGCAACTTGCCTATATTATTATTATTATTATTATTATTATTATTATTATTATTATAACATTTCTATGCCGCCCCTTGCCAAAACCTCGGGGCGGCTTACAACACAATAAAATACATTGAAATACAATAGAACATAATAAATTACCATTAAATACATATATTTAACTTTGCAATAACTTGCAATATTTAACTTTGCTCCACATCGTGGGATTACTACTGATTAGCAGGATTTTCGGCCAATTAACCATGACAAACATTCATGGATAAATGGATATCGATCGTGCTTTTAAAACAGAATAATAATTTCAGTATTTCCGCCCTCTCCTTCCAGACCATGGTGCCGATCTGACGACGGAAGCGGATTCTGGGTACACGCCAATGGACCTCGCTGTTGCTTTGGGATATAGAAAAGGCATGTTTTGGAAGGCGGGTGCGGGGTCCTCTTGATCGTTAGGGAGCCCCCTGCCGAGGCTGCCTGGATGGCAGAAGAGAAGTCGGAGCCCCCGAGAGAAATTACAAGCCACCCGAGGGCCTGACCTAGCATCCTGCTGCTCCCCGGAGCCACTGGGCCTCAGCCGCTTTCGCTGAACCTCCAGCGTGCAGTGGCAGCTGGAACCTGGCCTGGCTGCGCCCACCTTTCCCCATTGCCCAGGGGGCTGCAGAGGGGCCAGATTCGGCCCACGAGCTGCAGGTTCCACACCACTGTCATAAGTGGAATTGGTTTTATTTTAAAATGCTCAAGAATTATTCTTTTCTTGGTTTCTAGTTCAACAAGTGATCGAAAAACATATTCTCAAGTTATATCGGAGCAATGAGATGGAGTGAGATGCTTACCTGGTTGGCTGGGGGAGGGCACGGTGACGCGTGCCCCTCCCCGCACACCTCCGTTTTCTACGCTGCAAAGATTGGATGGAGGAGGCAGAACATCCAGCGGTGTGGACTGGCTGGCTAGAAAAAGCGTGTGGCAAGCGGTAGTGGTTGAACAGCTGAGAGAATGGGAGATGAAGAGAAGCAACGGGGATTTTTAAAGTAGGCTCTGGCCTGAATAAAAGGGGGGGGGGGAATGGACTCCCGAAACACCTGGGACAATATTCTCCCTATAAAAGACACCTCCAGCCTCTCTCCCACAACATCCAGGTTCTGTGTCCCAGAGGCAGCGCTTACCGAGGCAAAACAAGCTGGCTCGAGTGAGCGAGCCAAGCTGCAAACAAGAGAAGACAATTCCCCCCCTCCATCTTGCTCTTGCTATCAAACCCGGGATATACTGTATTTTTCTGTCTATAAGATGCCCCCATGTATAGAACGCCCCCCACTTTTACTGATCTCCAAGCAAGCGAGCTGCTGCTGCGTGCATGCATGCCTGCCTCCTCGCCCCCTCCGTGCCGGTCTCCCCTCCCCCTCCCCAGTGTGCCCATGGTTCTCCTCTCGGCCCCCCGTGTATAAGACGCCCCTCCATTTTTAGGTACGTATTTTAAAGAAAAAGTATCATCTTATACATGGAAAAATACGGTACTTTGTGTGTGCAAGAAGCATTTTAGTTGTTTCCTGCTTCTGTCTGAGCAGATGGCTTTGCAGGGATGGGTCTTCTCACAGATGGGGTGAATCGGGGCTATCTCCAAGCAAGCAGGCAAGAAAACTTTTATAAATTAAAGAGCTGCTTTCTTTTAATTAAAAAAACCTGTTTTTTGTTGTGGTTTCTTTTGCAACGAAGCGTTGGAATGAACCCATCTCTGTTCCACTTTCTGATCACCTTTATAGGGCAGGTTTTACTCTTTGCTTCCTCGGTATTCCCCCTGACCCTCCCCACTCCCATACTGGGATTTGGGGTTTGTGCATGCAAACCGCACCATGTTTTGGAGACAGGTTAGATGCAAACATACTGTATAAAACCCATAAATTCTGCACACTACAACTGCATACAGAAGACAGAATTTCCTTTCGGGGAATATTTATTGGAAAAAGTTTGTTTCCAGGAGGCACTGAAATCCCCAAGGGGCTGGTGGAAGGTAAACGAGATATTAGTAAATTCTTTAAGCTCACATCAGAATGCCAAAAATTGGAATGCTGAGGATCCTAAAGTCTTCCATACCACTGGAACGGTTGTCACCTGATGAGCAGGTCCCTGCCAGACAATCCCTTCAGTATCCCCATCCCTAGTTCTTTAGGGCTTCGTAAATACTTCCCAAAATCACGGGCTGGTCGTATGTACAAGGCTGTCTCCTCCAATGATGCCCAGCACAGCTTCGGGATCCGTTGACGGTCGGGATCCGTTGCGCCCGGATGCCACGGAAACCCTCGTCCCCGGCAGCCCAGTCTTGCACTAGAACCTTTTGCCCAGAACCTCAAGTCGGTAGACGATGATGCGGCCAAAGAAATCCGTGCTGTTGCAGAAGCTGATCTTCAGTTTATCTGCTGCGGGGGCTCCTTCCAGGGGGAAGCTGTGGGAAGACGTTAAGGCGAGCAGAGGGGATGGAGAGCCAGTGTGGTGTAGTGGTTAGAGCTGGGACTCAGGCGATCCGGGTTCGAGTCCCTGCTCGGCCATGGAGCCAACTGGGTGGCTTTGGGCCAGTCACAGACTCTCAGCCCAACCAACCTCACAGGGTTGTTGTTGTGGGGAGAAGATGGAGGAGGAGAGATGATGTAAGCTGCCTTGGGCCCTTTGTAGGAAAAAGGCAGGATATAAATTGAAAAATAAATAAAACCCGGAACCCAATGAGGCTAAGGAATCCCCCAAGAAGAGGGACACTGCCTCTCTGCAGGGGGACTGCGCTACTCTTGTGTGTGGTGTGGGCAAATGTGTCCCAAGGTCACACCCCAGACAGGTCTTACTGCACCAATGAAGGCACAGGCCTCCTCCTCAGTGACACGGGCAGGGCATCCATCTTTCCAGGGCTCCGCTGACTGGCCCTCATGCAGCCCATGGCTGGACACAGCTCCTCCTGCCTGCTGGGTTGCAGAAAGGATATCTGGAGAGCGTTGGTATCTTCTGGGTAGAATTCAGCAACCTGGGAAAGCTCTTCTCCTTTTCTGGAACCTTAGGAGATTTTAGAAAGGGGAGAAGACTATGGGATAGCGGCAACTCTGAAAGGAGGTTCCAAAGGGCAGCATGGGGAACCCCCAGTTCTTCCCCCACCCCCTACACAGAAAAAGTCAGGCAACGAGAGGGCTCCTTGCCCACTGAAGAACTAAGCCACTTTCGTGTTAGGTGTAACTTACCTCTTCAGCAATATAAATGGTTGCACAGGGAATCCTGGCAGTGGCTTTTAAGACGACCAAATTGCAGGCGTCTTTCCCCATTAGTTGCCCTCAGCATCTGGCACTGAGATAGACTGCCTCTGAACAGAGAGGTTCTACTAAGCTGACTTAATGCATCAGACCAAGAGGGCCTGTCTAGCCCAACAGCCTGTTTCAAAGAGCGGAAAAGCTTCCAGTGTATCCCACGAGAGAGGAGTGAAGGGAAAGCGTGGGGGGCGCCAGGAAAAGAGGGCATGGCCACCCACATCAGCACTTGCGAATACGCAACCCTTACCTTGCACGGTACACTTTTGGCTGGCAAACCCCCCTTGGAACTGAATCTGGATAAGGGACGCCTGGACAGTCCGTGGAAATTCCAGCACCAACCACTGGGTGGCGCCCTGACGAGAAATTTTACGGGAAAGGAAAGCATGGAAAGATGCTGGTGCTTTGCTCTGTCTTCAATCACAGAGAAAAAGCCCACAGAAAGAACAATGCAAGCCTCGGGAAACAAAGAACAGCAATGCGCAAGGGTGGGATTCAGTTGCAGGAAAATTATTATTATTACATTTTTATTTTATGCAGAGCAGAGCTGCCAGGGGACCGGTCGTTATTCTCATATAACACCGGTCCTCTACCAGCTACACAGGCTTCCTGAAGGCGCGCCTGTTCCCTTACTTGTCCTCACGCCCCCTAAGATCTGTGGGAGAGGCTCTGCTCCGGGACCCCTCTTTAAAGGAGATAAAAAGAACACCTACCTGGAGCAGGGCCTGCTCTGTGGTGGCACCCAGATTATGGAATGCGCTCCCCGGAGAGGTGCGCCTGGTGGCGAGTTTATATTATTTTTGGCACCAGATTAAAACATGTTTATTTAATGGCTATTTTAAAAACTAACATTTTATCGCTGAACAGTCCCTTTCTTTGTTTCTGGTTTCTTGTCTTTATGCAATCTTTACTGAATTTGTTATTTATAAAGATGGTTTTATTGTATTTTAATTCTATGTATTGTGAGCCATCCTGAGATGCCAAGGCACGTGGTGACGGCATACAAAAGTTATAAATAAATAAATAAACTGCCCATAGCCAAAGCTCTCTGGACAGGTGACAGCAATAATCATAGAATCATACACTCAAGTCACCCATCCCGGTTCTGACCACGCCTGACCCTGCTTAGCTTCCAAGATTAGGCAGGATCAGGCACTTCAGGCTATCTCCATCCAGGGGGTGGGGGCAAGCATCCAAGGGGAGCCCTCCTGCTTCGGTCAAGGAAAGCAGCTTGGGACAATGTCTCCTTGCTGCTTGTTCATGCATTCTCTCCTGGCCCCGTGGACCTAATTAAGCAGAGGCTGACTTGGGGGCCTTCAGAAGCGTGCTCCAGGCCCTGGAGGAATCCGTGTGCTCTCCAGTCTGAGATTGGCAATAACAGCCAGGATTCCCATCTGGGCCCTTTCCGGGCAAAAGAAACCAGGGATAAAAGACAAACCTAGCAGCAAAAAATAAAATTGGGACAACATCATCAAATCAGGTTAATACTAGGGCAGGCGAGAGCACGAGAAGCTATTCTTAAACTGCCAGGAAGCTTAAACGGGAAAGATCATAAGGTAGGCACCTGGTGAACCTCTCTGGAGGGGATGTTCCGCAAAGGAGAGGCCACCACCAAAAAGGCCCCCTTTCTCGTTGCCACCTGCCTAGTCTCACCTGGCAGGGGACCAACATGGAGGCCTCCAGACTATTTTAATGTCCCCATAGATAAATTTATCTCAGCAAACATATGTGAACACACAAATACTGTCTGTCCGTCTGCCTGTCTATGTATAATGCCCCACAGAGGTTTTATTCCTCACCTGATCAGAATTCCAAGATGTCTCCTCATTCCCATCAAACATGTATTTCTTCCCAAATTGCTTCACCTCTCGGTTGAGGACAGAGCTGACCCTGCAAACACACCAAGCAGAAGCTGAAAGGGGCAACATGAAAGGGGATTCTGGCAGAATCAGATTTCAGGGGATCCTGGAGGTCATGCAGTGCAGTTAAATTATGGAATTTACTTCCGCAAGATGGTCATGAGGACTGCCAACTTGGACAGCTCTAAAAGAAGAAAGGATAAATTCCTGGAGGAGAAGGCTCTCTGCATCTACCCAGGCTGATGGTTTGTGCTACCTCCAGAGGATGCGGAACATGGGAGGAAGGGTCCTGTCCTGCTTGGGGGTTCCCTTTGGGAACAGAAGTTTGGACCAGATAGGTCTGATCCAGTAACAGAGTAACATAGGTTCTTAGTTCAGCGCAATGCATCAACCCCAGGGAAGTTGCCTGGAAATTTAACATGCAAGAGCTACACTGATTCCTCACCCCCTGCTCACAGCAGTCCCCTGAAAATATTACACAGAGAGTCAGAGAAGCCTGCTGGATGGAGAATTTGGGAGAAGCAAACAGCATCCGGAAAAATCAGGCACGGAACCCGGCCAAAGCCCAGCAGTATGGGGTCCAGTCCTTACTCCCAGGACGGAGACTGCAAGTTGATGGTGCAGTTCTATACCGATTTTGTCAGAAGCGGGCCCTAGCAAATTACCCCCAGGTAAATATATGCAGGATTGGGTCCTGAAACAGGACCCAATTTTATCTTTGGGATAAAATGCATTTTTATTTTCTGGAGGATTGATATACTTTATGGCCTCCCATAGCGCTGGCTCTTCGGACTTAAACTAACCCGCTCTAAACAAACAAAATTTAAAGGGGGTTTGACCTGTTTGTTTTTCAAAGCATCAGGAACAACAGCAATTGCCTCCCCGAGGATGGCAAAGCTCACCTGCTCACCGTCTCAGAGCAAATTAAGGAAACGGGGGCCATGGCGATGCCAGAGCAGGGACGATCCGGCCGCGCCAACGGACCGGGGGTGATGTCTCCAGGAATGGGGAGAACTCTCTGCATAGGCTGGAACCAGCCTGTGAATGACACCGAAAAAGAGCCCGACTAAATGAGATGAATTAGATTTGGACACAGTCAATCGAATGAGAAGAGATATGGCACTCAGTTACAGCTTTTTCCACCCAAGTAATTTGGTCTCCTTCCTCTGTTTTTCATCCATGAGTTATTTCGCCATACCTAGCCTTGTGTCGATCCTGCTCGTATCTTCAGAACAACCCTGCGAGGCAGGCTAAGCCGAGAGGACGGCTTGGCCCAAAGCCACCCGGAGAACTTCCTCGCTGAGTGGGGAGCACAGTTCCCCCGCTTGGCGTCCTGGCCCAGTGCTCTAACCGCTAACTGGCTCTCGTTCTGGATTAGCTCCAGATATTTCTCAAAGCTGCCCCCGCGACTCTGCTCTTGATGTCTTGGATCCGTCCTGCAGTTTCTGCATTCAGACCAGCAGCATACAAGCTGGGCATTGTGGTTATTAGACTACAGTGACTTTTCAAGCTCACAATTTGAAACCAGGAGTATGCAATTTTAAATTTAAAAAACCTTCTCTCACTCTCTCTCTATATATATTTTAAATCCTTCCTGAACCCTAACTGGGGGGGACCTACAAAACCCCAAAGAGCAGAGGGGCAGGAGAAATCACACAACCAAACCATAGGCATCCCTGGAGTTGGCGGTTTCAAGACCTTCAAATGTGGTTTTATTTTTATTTTTTTATAAGTTTTATTCAAAATTATAATCCTAAAAACAAAGAAAAACTAAAAACATCAATCATCAAAAACATCGGGCCTGCTGGGTCAGCCCCCATTTTTTTTTCCATTTATGATAACTTAAAAACATATTTAAATCTATACGAAGTCCCGTTTCTCTAGCCAATAATAAAAAGAGTCCCAAGTTTGATAAAAGAAATGTGGTTTTATTAACAGTATCACTGAATCTTCGATGTTCATTATTGTTAGCCTCGTATTTCTTTGATACTTGCTTTCTGAGCTATTGTTTCTGTTTTTTCCTGGTTGTTTTGCTGATGTGGGTTTTGGATTTATAAAACTTTGCCTGGTGGGTCATACACACATCTAATGGATTAAGGAAATACAGAAATATTCTGTAATGCCCAGCAAAGGATACGACTTTCCTAAAAGCAGTTGCACGAATTAACGCTGCTCATTTTGCAACCGCCCCCACCCCGCCGGGTCAACGCCTCCCGGTTTGCGGCTTTTAAAACACAAAGTACTGCAAAGATCGCCGAAATTAAAGTATTTCCTCTCCTCCTCCACGCATTTAAATCCAAGCTTTGGTCTGCAAAGGAGGATGATGCAAACAAAATTTCCACGATTGAAAGATGGAAGAGCAGGAGTCAGGGAATACTAACCTGCGTGATTGCAAAGCGGGGCTGGACCGAAATGGAAGGTGCTGGCCGTGTTTCTGGATTTCTCTTTTTGTCAGAGAGAAAGCCAAGCAAACACCCGTCCGGAGAAAGGACAGCTGGCCCCGAGCCGCACGTGCTTCCTGCTTCCTGCAGTCGGTGGAAATCCTTAAAGAGACACAAGCAAAAAAAAAAAAGTTTCCAGGCTTTGCTAAATCGAACATAAACAGAGATCCCGGACTGATCTTTCCTTGGCCACGAGGTGGCGCTACGAGAGCGCCGCGGAAGGAGGCATCCGGAAAAGCAACCTTAAAGCCGATTTAATTAAAACGGAAAGCCAAGCTTAAAACAAGCTTAAGGACCATCTTGCGGGTGACTGGGATTTGTCGTGCAAAAGATGCCAGGATGAGGACGCTTGGGGCTGATCCTGCAAAGCCCCTTGCGAGCCTGGGGGGTTCTCTGTCTTGTTCTCTAATGGGGCTCAGATCATTTCATAGTCCTGATTGATGGTTCGACAAAACCCCAAAATGCAAAGGAATTTTTTTTAGAGAGGTGGAAACTCAGGGCCAGAATTTGGCCCACCAGGGGTTCCAATTGCTTAAATACTTCCAAGGCTGAGTTACAGTGCATAAGAGCTTACCGCCAAAATATTTGGGATATGATGAGGATTAATTTCATTTCTATATCACCCCACAGCTGAAGCTTTCTGGGTGGTTTACAATAATCCATAAAATAAAATAATAAAAATAATAAAATATTAAACAGCTAAGAAAGTAACAAAGATAAACTTTGCAGAAACACCAGGGATGGGTAAGGCTGCTGGGTGCTGAACAAGTCTTTAAAGGGAAAAGAGGGCAGTCTTAAGCTGGTGCAGGAAATTTAGGCCTTCTCCTTTGTCTTCTGGCCCCACCCCTTTGCTTTTAGCTCCTCCCGCTATTGGAATGCCACGCCCCCCAGCTCTCCCATATAGGTTTTGTTTCTTGCATTGTAAGGGGTCCCCCATATGTTAAAAAATATGTAATAGGAGGTTGACCCAGTGAACCCAATGTTTGCCATGTTTGATGTTTTTTAGTGTTAGTTTAAAATGTTAATAAATATATTAAAAAAAAGTGGTGTATGTCAGAGGAGTGGGTAAAATTCATTTCAAAGAAAAACTAAAAACATCAATCATCAAAAACATCGGGCCTGCTGGGTCAGCCCCCACATTTTTTTTCCATTTATGATAACTTAGAAACATATTTAAATCTATACGAAGTCCCGTTTCTCTAGCCAATGATAAAAAGAGTCCCAGGTTTGATAAAAAATCAAAAATCTTCTTTCTCCTTCAGTGACAAAGTCAGTCTATCCATTTCTGCACAGTCCAAGATCTTTTTTAGAATCAGTTCGTCGGTGGGTGGTTCTTCACTTTTCCAGTGCTGAGCAAAGTAAAATTCATTTCATAAGGCAGGGAAAGCCTTCCAGCTTTTACTCTGAGCTGTCTGTTGGTGGTACTCAAAGCAAAAGCTGCGACTGGGGAACCTATTTTCGGGGTGGATTTCAGCACCTCCTAGAATTCCTATAAAGTTCCAGCCAAAATCAAAAAGGAAGGAGTTTATTGTTTGTTTATTTATTTATTAAGAATATTTATACCCCGTCCTTTACAAGATGTCCCAGGATGGCTTAGAACAATAAATAAATCACAACAAGTTATAATACTGAGCATAACAATGTTAAAACCTAGTTAAAATAATTAAATATTAAAGTAGTGGGCAAATCAAAAGGGTTTTGCCTGCCACCAAAAAGAATATAATGTCACCTGGTAAACCTCTCTGGACAGTGTATTCCACAATCAGGGCGCCACCACAGAGAAGGCCCTGCTCGGGATAGTGGCTCTTCCAGGAGGGTTCCCAGAGCAGGGCCTCTACCTCAGATCTTAAAGGGTGGGAGGGTGTATAGGGAAAAAGACGTTCCTTCAGGTATCCTCGTCCCAAGCCGCTGGGGCCAAAAATGAGCTCCATGCTGATTTCAAAGGTCTAATTCCCAGGTAGCTGCATACAGAAAAGTGGAACCATGAAAGGGCAAACATGCCTTCCCCAGACTGCTGTTTTGTACTCCAGTTCCCATCAGCCCCAGGCAGTGTGACCATTGGTCAGGAAAGCTTGGGTTTGTCACCTGAGACATCTGGAGAGCACCCGGTTGCAGAAACCCTGTCCTATTGGGTGGGTTCCAGTCTGGAAAGCAAAGCAATACCTTTAAGATTCGCCAAATAACCTGGATTTTTTTTTTTAACCATCTATTATTCTAGCAGTGTATGTTTTCCGTCTTTTCTTCTCTTCCGCTGAGAGCTCTGGCAAAAGGATGCTTATTTTCGGAAGGCCCATTCTCCCCACTACCACCTGGTCCACCCATCCACCCACCATGCTTAATAATATGATAATTAAAGGTTTGTTTTGCCCACACTTTATCTGTTGTTGACGCCTGGCTCTCACAAAAGATTGAGCGTTTTTGTTGCAAAGCTGGGCAGTGCTGTTCTCTGGAGGAAATGACAACCCAGCCAAACAAAGCATAAAAGGATGCAGTGAAAAGTGCCCAAAATAAATTTAAATATGCATGTGTTTGTCTTTAGTTACGGGGCTTGGAGAAATGAAAGTTTCCTTTATTATTATTTTTTTTCCCCAAATGGAGTATTTTTCTTTTGTGGTGGTGGGGTGGGCGGACGGGCTGCATCCTTCAAGAACGCCTTCCACTGTTCATTTGGAAATTAAATTTGATGGCCATTGTGCAAGCAGCCTGTTTGGAATCTCAAACAGTCCTGCATCAAAAATATTACAGAATCAGTCCTCTTTCATGGGGAGAACCAGTGCACAATCACAAAGTACCAGTTCTACAGGGCGGCAGTCTCAGACTTGACTCCCTGAGAGGCCGGGGAGACCACTATGGAACCTCTGCCAGCTTCCCACACCCATATTTAAGCCTTCTGTGTATTCAGAACCTTGAGGACTAGAACCTTATTTGGCTTTTAAAGGGCTCTATGGCAGAACACAAATGGGCCAGATTTCGAATAAGGTCATGTCTCCTGTTTCTCCCAGGTGTTATTATTTGTAACACAAATGCCCAAGGTTGGCAGGAGGGTTGTTCAAACCAACCTGTGGAGTCACTTCTGATCACCTTGCCCTTTTCTCAGGCCTCCTGGGGGGAAGGGGGCTTCCCCACAACTCCTGTTTGTTTGTTTGTTTATTACAAACATTTGTATCCTGTCCTTCCGACAAGCGTTCAGGACAGCTTACATAAGATAAAATTAGACTAATACAATAATAAAACCACAATTATTAAAACAATATAAAACAGAACATCATAAACTAAAAAGAAAAGGAAGGAAAAGAATAGAAGATGAGACTGTGAGCAAGGAAACAGGAAGACCAAAAAAAAAAAAAAAATCTTAAAACATCGAAAACCCTTGATTGTTAAAATGATAGTTAAATAAAAAGGTCTTTTACCTGGTGCTGGCAGGAGGATAATGTCAGCGCCAGGCGGGCCTCTCTGGGGAGCGCATTCCATAGTCTGGGCGCCACCGTGGAGAAGGCCCTGCTCCGGGTAGACACCGTCTGTACTTCCTTCAAGGAGGGCTCCCGGAGCAAGGCCTCCCCCACCGATCTTAAGGGGCGTGAGGGCATTTTGGCACCAGTGAGCTAGACTCAAAGTGCGCTCGCTCAAGGCAGCAAGTTCAGACATCCAGCAATGCCCCCAGAACAGCAAACTTTGCACAGGAATCCCCTTTAAGCTTGCCCACAAGCTTCCAAACCCCCTAGCAGATGCCAAGTAAGCAGAATCCATATGGCTCAGGATGGGACTCTGAACTGAGTAGAATTGCTGTGCATTTTCTGACATTCCTAGCTCAAGGACAGGAGGACATAGTCCAAGCCAATTTGATCAGACCTGTGTGGAGAAAAGGAAGGGTTTGGGTATGTTTAACTCAGAGAAGAAATTGCAATGAGGCTATTTTGAATAGGTAGATGACAAATCACATTTCCACTACTTCAGAAGGTAGAACTAAAATTAATTCTCTGCTTCATTCGAGGTCTTCTGGAAGAGGTTGGGCGACCTCTTTCTGAGATGCTGTGCCAGGAAATTTCCTGCATGAAGACTTGGCTGTCTAGCCCTCTGGGGTGCCTTTGCTGTATCTCACAAGACAGTGTTGGAGTTGACCTCAAGGGACCCTCCAGCTCTAACATCCTGTGCATTGAGTCCCATCCCTAAAACAAAAAAGTTCCTGCATTTTTAGCCAGCATGGAGCAAGATTCTCCTGAAGCGTGTTCGCCAGTTCCCAGCTTGCCTGCTTGCTCATCTGGCTGGTACAGAAAGCGGAAGAAGCTTTCTGGGGTGCGCACAGAAGCCCCTCTCCTGCCACCACCGAATTGACAGGCCAGTCTTTTCACCAGGAGACCCTCCTGCTTCATGCATTCGGATTGTGCCCCTTGCCCTGTCTGCTTTGCCAAGATGCCACTCCACGAGAAATGAAGATATGGGCCGCCTCGGAGTGAATTAGCTGCATTGCCAATTGATTTCCTGTATCCGGCCAGAGACATGGAGTGGAGATGGACATGATGCAGAAGCAGTTTCTCTCCTGGGGCGTGTGATTCGATCTCTCCCCTGTGCATTTTCGCACGAGCCCCGGGAGATGCCCTCCTGTCTGCTTTTGGACCAGACAACAAGCACGTATTGGATGCTGTCAGAGGAAGACGGCTGCTCCGAGGAATGTGCGGCTGTAGTAATAAGCATTAGCACATTATTATTCTAATGTGTATATTTTAATTTATGTGGTTTTAATTTAGTGTTGTAAGCCGCCCCGAGGCTTCGGCGAATGGGGCAGCATAAAAATGTTTTAATAAATAAATAATAATAAAAAACAATAATAAAGGCTAGCTGCTTGCGAATTTGGACATATCACTGGTAGAGGATGAGGAAATGTTCATTGAGCTCCAACACCCACTGGTCACACCCAACATGTCCGATAGTCAGGGCTGAGGGGAGATGAAGTCCGGATCTACTTGGAATCCTTAAAAGAGTGATAGACTTTTTATTTCCTAGAATTGTTTCCCAGAAGTTTTGAACTACATCTCCCAT